GGCCTCGAACTCACAGAGATCCGCCTGGCTCTGCCTCCCGAGTGCTGGGATTAAAGGCGTGCGCCACCACCGCCCGGCTTAATAAGCTTTCTTTATCATGCTGTAACAAATACAATTTCAAAGAAACAATAAACTGATCTTGTTGTCACCCTCTTTAAGGTTTTAATCTTTTGTTCACTAACAAATAAGACAAGTAAAATAAAGCAGAAAATACATGTAATTTTGGAGTTAGCATGGAGCTTAACTTAATAAATCCTTCAATATAGATTTTATTAATTATAAATAGCAAAACAGATGTCTTTTGTAGTTCTTGTGTTTTGGTTTGAGTCGAACAGATCTTTCCAAAGCACACAGCCTTAATTTAAATCTGCTCTGCTAAAGTGTGCTAACGCTCTCACACACTTCACCTTTGTCCCTCAGACTCCCATGGGAAGCCTAGTACTCACAGGCTCCTCTAGACCCAAGAGAACTCGGCTCGAAAGCTGTGTCTTGGTGAATGGAGGAAACTGACATTTACTCTTGTCCTTCCATGTAGAGCTGGAGGCACATCTACATACTTTTTCCTTTGGACACTTTTTAGTATACTGTTTGATTTATGTAGTATGAAATAAAGGGAACAATGGTTCCTTAATAAAATTACCCACTAGTTAAGAGGCAAAACCAAAATTTGAACTAAGCTTTTTCATCTAGATCATACATGCTTCTCTTCCATGATGCCTTTGAACCATAAAAGACTAATTCCATTAGTCTTTACCTACTCTAAAATTTTTAAGTAAAAAACCATACACTGTACTATCCAAATTACATAAACAACCAAACAAACCCTACCCCTCTGGCTAAGGGAAAAAGCAGACACAACGACCATTGGAAAGTTTAATCAATTTAAGCAGTGCAAAGTTTGTTTTTTTTGCTTTTGTCTTTAATTTACATTTCTGTTTTTCAGTAATAGTCTGTTATCTATAGTATCATTTGTTCTCATGCAATTTACAAATAGAGTAGAGAGTACTTTGTCAGGGTAGATGAAGCTGGACCAAATGCTGCATCACTGCCTGAAGAGCAACAGGAGGACAGTAAGGGGACAAGAGCTCCCATTTTGCTTGTTACACAACAGGGAAGTCACCATTAAATGCCCCAGTCGCATATTTGTAGAAAGCTTGCCAGTTTAATTATCCCTCATGGGTCAGCTCACACCATCCCACTTTGCCATGGAGCTGTGGCTGTCTATAAGATTGGCATTGAAGCATCACAAGCCTCCAGGCAAGTGATTCAATTCTAGTTAGTTTGGCACTAGCCTGGAAACACACCACACCATACCACACCACACCACACCCACACACCACACAACAGGCTAGGACAGGACAGGGGCCGGGTCATGTCAGAGACAGATATGGAACAGAAGGTTAAGATTGATCGACCTTGTCAGGTGGGCCTTTCGTTGCTACAGATTTGTTTCTACACAATGTCTGGGGGAGCAGGGCAGAATTAAGATCTTTACTCTCAGGGATAATCCCACATTGTTTCTGTGAACTAACAACGGGCTCTCTCACTACAACTACTCATACGAAACAGACACACTCTTATAGGACCAAAGACGGCTCAGGGAATTTGGTTTTCTGATTTTATTTTTACAGCTGACACATCTGAAACTGAGATGTAGTGAGTTTAACATGTGGACAGTTTCTTAAGGAAAGTATGGGATACTAAATAAGCATCGTATAAAGGGCTCTCTAAAACAGCCTCTTGGAAAGGAAGCATCAATGTCTCAACTGCAGGTATATATCAGAAAAAGTTCTCTTAATCAACATCCTAAGTGGCTTACAGAAAATATTTCGGTACATTAAAATGCTGTGGGAAAAATGGGCCCAACAATATAAAAATGATTTGGAGTAACCTGCTAATGAGCTTTGTTCCGATCAACATTTTGAAGGCTGTTTGGATGGACGCTAAAGCTACCATTTGGTTTTCAACATCTGGGTGAGACATCAACTCTGCACTCCTGGGTGCTAGGTTGTGCACACACTCATGTGCATGCAGGAGAACACACTGATATTCCCATTTCCCTGGCTTAATTAGAGATTAATATTTTAAATGTTCCTTTAAGACTATATAAACAGATGTCTGGATTTAATTTTGAGTCTTATTTATTTCTAAAATGCTGGACAAGAGAAAATGTTGAGAATTCTCAGGGCATATATTGTAAAAAAAAAATGAACTTGAGGTAAAAGAATGGGGAAGGTGATAATCCTTATGTGAGTTTCATCAACAAGTGTCTGTGAACACGAAAACTCTCTTTGTGACTGTAGTGTTACAACATTTCCCTAAGTCAAATCTAACTTCCATTGCTTTAATCCCAAGACTCTTAAACCTAGTACTATGACATTTTGGGTTGGATAATTATTTGTTTTGGGAGGCTCTCCTTCATATTGCCTCTACCAGCTAGACATCAAAAGGGTCTCACCCCTCATCTATTCATCTGGGGAAAAACTCAACCCTGTGAAGAACCAGAGCTCCACATCTGTCAGTTACAGCAGCTCCACCTGCCCTAACCCACTTTGCCAGTGTTTCAGGAATCACTAGAAGGTACAAAACCATCTAGAAGCAAAACACTTCAAGTAAGATTGTAGCTATAGATGCAAACGAGAGAGAGAGAGAGAGAGAGAGAGAGAGAGAGAGAGAGAGAGAGAGAGAGAGAGACACTAAGTATTTAAAATATTAGGATTTGAATAACAGGGCTTAAATATTTGAAATGACAAACAAAGCCAATGTAAGTTTTTAAATTATAGCTTCCTTATGTGTTCATTATATACCTAATAATTCAAGAATCCAGAGGGAGTGAAATGTGTTCATTTTATATTAGTATGGTGGCCAATATCAGGTATGTTCACATTTTTATTGATTATTGTCTGGAAAGAATTATTGAGGACTTCATCTATGGCAGCTGTTTTGATAAGCACTTGATTTAGTCTACCATTCATGATAAGAAGATATCAAACAGTCTAACTAATTTAAGTTATAAAAATCTGTAGTATTCAAGGTGACTCATCTTCCCAGTAAATGTTCAAAGAATTTAAATTCTAGTAAAAGACAGACTGGAACTTGAGCAGATTAAAGCCAAATGCAAACAAGGCATTGAGAGAAGCCACCAAGTCATCTCCACTAAGGAAGTAGTGAAGGGTAAGTCACCTCCAGAGACTCACTGACAGTTCTTAATCTCAAATGCCTTATTTACAAGAAACGTGTTCAGAAATCAAGAATACATTCAATGACATAGAAATCCAAACATAAACAAGAAAATAAAGACTTGTCTAACTAAAAAAAGCAATAAAGATATGCAAATACAAACTTATACAAATAAGCACTGTACTTTCATTCTGAAAGATGTATGTCACATCATAGGCTTGCTATTTTAAGTGTACACTCGGGGATTCCCAGGATGCCTGTCTTTCTGGATGACTACGACCCTACCCAATTCCAGAAATCTTCTATCATCCTCCCCTCCAAAAACCCTACACCTCTTAGCAGGTAGCCCCAGTCCTCTCCCCTGTCTACCTGGCACCCACTAACCTACTTGGTCTCTTTTTATTAATAACCATTTCCTTTTACATCTGGCTTCTTTCATTTCGTGCAGTGTCTCCAAGGCTCATACCTGGCACAGCACAAACAACACTCCATGTTTTAAATGGCTGAATGATCTACTCTCCTATCCCAACCCCAAGCAACTGAGTGAAGCATTTCAAGAACGTGGTCCCATAGTCACCTGAAACATTTTCAGCCACTCTTGGAGGCCGGTGGGTGGCTGGACCGAAGTGATCCTGCGTCGTTGTTGCCCTTGCCCATTGGCAGCTCTTAGGTCCCCAAAAGTTGTTGGTGTTGCTGAACATGGTACAAGCCCAGTGGTACTAAAAACAAAAAACAAAAGTACAAGAGTGGAGGTAAAGACAGGTCTTAGTTAAGTGCTGTGAACTCTGATTTCATCAGAATAATGATCTGGTGTTCTTCAAACATCAATACAGCAATCCCTTTTGCTGGCTATTCTCAGAGGGCAGGGATACACAAAGCCTACTTTGCTTTCTTCTTTCTCTCCTATTCCACAGATGGTCTCATTATGCAGTCAAGGCCAGCATCAAACTTACTATGCAGCCCAGGCTAGCTTTGAACTCACAATCGTCCTGTTTCAAACTCTTTAAAGCTGGAAATACAGGTATCTGCCACCACATTTGGCCCTGTTTTACTATTATAATTAAAGTTTCTCCCTATCATCATCCAGGCAATGTTACTGGCAATCAAATGGAAGACTCTATGAAAAATCTGTATGTCACCAGTACATGTTTGCTTAGGGCTGCAGGCGCAATTAGTAGTAGCACACATGCTGAGTAGACACGGGCCTGGTTCAATTCTTACCATAAGTGAGTAAGTAAATGACTAAGCAGACAGGCAAGCAAACATGGCCCTAGAACATATAGCTCCTACTTCTATGACTAGTTCAAATTAAAGTTTAGATTTTCTTTATTAAAAGGAATGTGAAAGCATTAATGTTACCAATATTTCAGAGACAAAAATGTTTTGGATCTCACTTCTTACACATAAGTCCTTAAGTTTGCCCCAGATGCCTTTATTTAAGCTGAGCTTAGGTATCTGGTAGTAGTCAGCCTTGATCAGACATGCAGCTTTTCAGAACAAGTAGAGAACTTTCAGGCAAAATTAAATGAAAAAAGACGGTTGAAAGATTCTTGTCTAATAATTTAAACGTTGAGATGGTGGGGAAAAAAATCTAAACAATACATTCAGAACCGAGAACAGTGGTTCTGATCTAGTTCTGCAGCTGTATTACTCCGCTACCTAACAGCAGGCAGAATGCAGACATGTACTGGTGTTCTCGGGTGGTGGTCCTCTAAGGCAGCTCAAGCACCGACAACAGAGCAAACACTGAGCTTTTCTGCAGGCGTACTAAAAGGACAAGCCCTGTCTAGGAAATTCCATCTGTGAGAGAATCCTTCCTTCACCGAACTCTGGTAATGAAAGGGTTTGAAGTCCCAAGAGCAGCCAGCTCACACCTGTTCCCAGAGCACTTGACGGTGAGGCGGTCGGACTGTGCACGTTTAAGGCAAGCCCAAGCTAGACACGGTGAGTTCCAGGCTAGACTGGGTTACAGTGAGGGTTTGTTTCAAAAAGAAAAGAAAAGAAAAGAAAAAATCCAAAGAGCACATATAAATGTACCCTAACAACTGATTATCAACATCTGACAAACTGCTAATGAAACAACTCTCAATTTTTTAAAATGATACCTAAATCACTGTATTTTACAGAAAAATCTTCATGCCTAGACTCTTTGAATCTTTCAATATTTATTTAAGACAATTTCTAATATTCAATAAGTAAGTCAATCTTTCCTTCCTTCTAATTCAAAAGCAAATTCAGCTTCTTTTTCTCAAAAATAAAACACGATGTGTTAATAGTTTAAACTTCCTAAGGAAAAAAAAAAAGGCAGAAAATGAGTTTTATCTTATTACCTGTCAAAAACCTGTCCAAAGCATCCCTAAATATCAAACATATACGTTAGTAACCGACAAAAGAGTACCAAAGACATGGCCATAAATATGCATCGGTTCTAATTTTGCTTTAGTACGGACGATTCTTGTGCAAAGGCAGTTGCTTTCTTGATATAAAAAGTAAGCAACTAAAATTTTATGAAAATCTGTTCGGTACCAAAAATTCCATTCTAAAATAACTGAACATTTAATACTTTTGTCTCGGGATTAAAACATTACCAGAAAACCAAAATGATGACAGACTGACATCTGTCCATTAAAAAAATGACATTGACAATTAGTTTAACATCAAACTCAACTTTCTCAGCTAAGAAATACATTCTCAAGGTTAGAAGGAAAAGCAACTGAAACGAACATTTTCCTTGTCTCTCTATCCCTCCACACCCTCTGGTGGAAGTGCCTAAAACAGTGGAGCAGTCAGATGACCAAGAGAACTCGGGAGAGAAGAGCCTCTCTGCAGCACGAAGCTTCTGTTCTGTGGCACTGTCTCTCCAGAGTGTTCTGTACGTAAAATTATTCTAAGCAGTATGATCCCTTAATTTTACAAAAGAGCATTAAAGAAATTTCCACAATTGAATGAAATAAAAACAAACTGTTGGAGGGGGATGCAATCTGTAGTAAGGTTTTAAGGAACCTTGTATCTAGGCAATGTTAATTTTATTCTACTTTATAGAATAAAAATAACTAAATCAAAATGCTTTGGGAAAAAAAAGATCATAACCATGATGCCCTTAGAATGTCTATTGTTCATTCTGACCTGTTTTTCAAAAAGGGGGGGGGGACCACAAAGGTTCTTAAGATACTTTTGTCATTTAAATTTTAAAATAGAGCATTCCAAAGCCATTTTTAATTGGCTGGGAAATGAGATATTGTGCTTAAGAAGTTAGCCTAATTAGCGTGAGAGTGGGCAAAGTTTTATACTGATGCAAAATCCAAAAATGATGGAGTGAAGCAGGAAACAAGACTACAATTGTATCTAGTTGTTATGGAAACTATTCTACAAGAGTAGAAATGTATGTGTTAAAACATAAAACCTATCAAGTCAATAAATGGGGATTTCTAACACATTCATTCCATGGAGTAAGACTAAGTTCGTAACTGAGAGATTTACCTCACTGCTAATAAATTTATCTTCGATTTGGTATATGTAAGTATCTACCCTAGAATAGCAGTTGCTATAGTAACTAGAGACATTTCCTCACATTCAGATCTCGTGGTTTACTGTTTAGAAGTCCCTAAAATTGTGACTTTAAATTTTTGTTCAAAGAAGTCCTGCATGTGCCTCCCATTAGTGTATTAGTAAGAAGGTACGACATGGACAGAGCCAGCTCTTCTGCTCAGGTGTAGACGGAGCCCTTCTCCATTTCTATAACATCAAAACACGTTACAACAGCTGACAACACTGAATACAGTAGCATTGTTATTCTGCGAAAACAAATCCAAAGAAAAGCTTTCAATGACACCCCCATCTACCCCCTCTATTTAACGTTACCTGGTATAATCTGAGACTTTGCATGGTTTCTTTCCCAAAGAAAAGGAACGGACCTCAGAACCATGGTCCAACTTTCTTTTCATCTATAAGGTAAAACAGATAAGTTGTTGTTGTTGTCGTTGTTGTAAATTACCTGGTCCATTATCAGACTTTGAGTTCACATGCTAATATTAAAAACTGTTAAATTTTCATGTACCTACAATGGTGACTATTGGTAGGTTAAATAGAAAATATATTACATAGTTTTTCCTATTTGCTTATTTCCTATTTTCTTATAGACTGGGTAGGTAATGTTCTCTTAGTATTCTGTTGGGATGAACAGTGTATGGTGATTTAGAAACTAATATTCATCATATCCCTAGAGAATTATGTACTTTTCATATTTTCAGTTTAATAACAAGAAATATTTTATTAGCACACACAGAAAAGAACCATATTTAACATGCCTTTCTTACTAATCTTCATTTTTCTTTAAAATTATTTTAAGCTAAAAAATTAAATTAAAAATTTCACAAGCAAAAATACGGATAACTGAATTTTAAACATTCATATCATTATAAAAAGGTAGAGAGCAATGTACATAAACTAATCTTGACCAGTGATTATAATAAAGAAGAAAGTAATTAGCATGGACAACAGAGACAGTTCAAAAGAGTAAACCCTAACAGCAGAGAATCTGCATCTGCTACAATAAAGCTGTAGGAGAAGCCATCGGCTGCTACATGCAGAGTATACAGCCCATAATCAGGACAAAACAGTCTTGAAACAACAGAAGGATTTTAAGAGAGTGAACTATGACTAAGATAAATGTATATAAGACATGTCAAACACGTACATCCTAAAGGTTTCTCACTATGCAATGTTATGCTATCAATACTTTCAAAACTGCATTCTGTTAACGTTAATATTGAAATTTATTTTTTTGTATTTCACTATCAATTAATGTAGGTCATCTGTTTATTTCCAAACTAGAAAATACAATCTGTTGAGGTTCAACTTTTTCTATTTCAACACCCTCTCTTGGATTTGCACGTACTCACTAGCTACTGTATTATTGCATGTTATGGGGAGATAGCCATCTTTATTTTATAGTAAAGTGGAACCCCTATTTTGCAGCAGCCTCATTTTCCTACCTATTGCTTCACATAGGAACACATGGAACATAGTGTATACACTGTAAATACTAAAAAGAACCTAAAAGACTTGAACTCTGAGATGGGACAGCAAGGACTCTAATCATCATGCACAAAGTCTTCCAGTCAACACTGGATGGTTTTTAGCTGCGAAGGTTCAAGAAGCTTATGCACAATGTATACCTTAGTTCATGAAATGCCTACTGGGGAAAATGGAATTGGTCTGCGTTCTCCCCTCTGGAGTTTCTATACTCATGTCATTTTAAAGACAATCCTCTCCAAAACATACTGTTTCTTTCTCTTTGTAAGTAACTGTATTGAAAACCGGACATAAATAATATAAAAGCTGTAATATATAGGTAGCCATGTGCTTCCACGTGTATAATTCACAGACACACAGATATGCACATGTACACGAATGAATCCATCAGGAAGGTCAGTCAGCACAGAACTTGGTAACTTTCACAGATGTCTTTCACGATCATTATGAGAATCTCTGATACTCATCTGAATTAAGTCAGTAATGCTGGCTCTCAGAACTTCCCAGAATGTCTTGTAAATACACTGGTACAAATGCCATCTGCCACTAAAAGCAAACTTTATTTCCATCTTAGACTCTTTCAATGAATAAAAATACTTAAAACATATATCAAGGAAATCACCGAGAAGGGGGTTTTATGTTTAAATTATTTTATAAAACAAAGCACCTTTTGAATGACTATAAAAGTCTTTTAAATATTGTACTGTTAACTGAAAATACTGACTTTACAACCACAAATTAATTGGATAATTTTTTAAGGTACCACAAGTAGTACAATCTCTTCAAATATGAACCCCACACGTTTCAGTGACTACACTTTAAGAGTTAACTAGTGAACACATATGTATGTCTATGGTACAGGAAAACTGAACGGAAAGGTTCACGAAAAGCCAAGTGAGGCTGAGTATTTCCAGGTCAGCATTTAACGGAGCCACATTTCTCAAGTCTGGATACATTCTCAGTGAAAAATTCTCAGATGGAAATATACATTTCATTTTAAAGCTTCCCCCAGCTCACGCCGTCGTTCCATAGCTGCTTACAACATTCATGAAATAAAACAGAATACCAGACATCCAGCCACCCACCAAAATTAGAGGATACTGCAGCCATCTCTGATGATACAGATTTTCCTTCTCAGGCAGGCACACACACACAACCACACAGAACAGGAAGAAAACAGATTACTTACTTTGTAAAAAATCATTTTTAATGTGCCGTAGAAACCCATATTTTCTGTATTTTTCCCCTTCAGGGATTCTGTGCCCCCGTGTGTCCGGCTGCTTGGCAGTCTCTGACAATATAACCCCTTTTCAGGTAGGTATGTCACAGATTCTAACGTGGACATGCTCAGGCACGCCAGAAGAGGAAGATTAGGCAGCGGAACCGGCAGCAAAACTCCCCAGCACCAGCAGACGCAGCTCAGAACCAGAACGCTGCTCGGGACGCACACACGCATGCAGCTCCACTGAGGAGAACTCGGGGAATAATGAGCGAGAACCCACAAGATTATTGGAGGAGACTGTGCCCTGTCAAAGCCTTGACTGAACAGATTCCTCCCTCAGCAGCAGAGGGATCAGATTACATCTTCCCTTGAACACAGAATGGTGCAGTCCAGGGTTCAGCAATGCAGACTGCACATCAATTATATGGTGATCTGCTCCAGGGAGCCCGTAAGCACACCACGCGCTGAACAGAGGGCGGACGTGGGCAGCAGAGACCGCCCCCACACCACAGCCCTCTCCCCTCCAAACTTTCAGGAGATTATTTTTGTGTTTCGTAAAACCCACATTTTTGACGAGTTTTAAATAGCACTCAGCGTTACCACAAATAAGTCCTTCCAGAAACATTTTGAAAATGAAATGTATTTGGGTACTCCCGCCCCCAAGGCAAAGCAGGCTATTTCATTAACTGTCATCCCACCGGCCACTCTTGGCAGAGGCTGATCAGGCTCCTCACCTAGCTTGGGCAATACCGGCAGGGCAAGTCCAAAGGGAGAAATGAAATATTCTTGGGGGAACTGCCAATAAAGTAAACCAGTCTGAAGCATATAGGTTTTTTTGTTTGTTTGTTTTTTAAACAACAACAACAAAAAAAACCACCCAGAAATTATGTAATGTAAGATATGTTTCAGCTGGTATGCCTCTTATATTAAGATTTAAAGAAAATATTTTTTATACTTTGCCATTACATTCTTTTAAAATATAGTTTTCAAGATAACTACCAGTGATTCTGGGGAACCATGAGGATTATCGTTAAAGATAAGCCAATTCTACCTACTGCAGAACGTTTGTCTGAAGGCTACTGTCTCCAAAGTGAGCCAAAGCTGCACTCCCTGATCACTGGGGAACCTCCTGACATATGTCCAACCTGGGTCAACAGGAGGTAGTGGACTTGTATCTCAAAAATGACTTGACAATGCACATCACTTAGCACTAAAAGGGAATTTTATGTAATAATAAAGAAACTAATTTTGCCTAAAGGCAACATTTTTTTTTTAGAATGATTACTGTATGAATTTAGGTATTCATCTTGCAACCTGCTACACAACTGCCCTTGGAGGCGGTGATAAGGCTCCTTGGGTAAGAAGAGCCTGTTATCAAGAGCCCAGCTAATTAACTCCTCCCCTCCCCACTAATGTTCTTTATTACAGGTAAGCTATGTGCCTACAGTTATTGAAAGTACTTAGACAGTTCCTTTTTCCAGAAAACAAACAAACAAACAAACAAACAAACAAACAAACCCACTAGTTAAGCACTGTCTAACATATCTTCATGGTGATAGAATATTATGTGAAATATCAACTTGAAAAATGCTTACTATTATAACTAAGACATTCTATGTAAAGCCGTTTACTTTCGAATGAAAATAAGATAATGTAAATTTTATGGAGATGCACATTTTAGATTCTTTCCTAGAAATTATGTTCTACTATTATCTTCTCAAACATTTACCTAGTTCTTACATCATTCCCCCATCAGACACAACATGTACACAAATATTTAGCAAAAGTTAGTTTTCCTAGCAATCAATTCATTCTCTTCAAAGGGACGTTCTTTTAAAAATCTCTTAATTTGAGGAGGGGGAGAATCCAATAATTAGGAAGATACACAGACCCTTATTAACTAGTTGCCTCATGATTTAGGAAAAAAAAAAAACAGCAAATAGGACTTCCTTGTTTGTTTCAGGATACTGAAGAACATTAACAACTAGCTGGAATCTCCTGTAGAACTGTTAGGGTCAACCATCTTGTCCTGGGTAAATTTAGTGAACCAGGGTAGGACAGGCCCGGTCCCCTTCTGTGTCAGCTCAAACTGTGGCCTATATCTAACTGAATTAACTCTGTTCAAGTACTGAGTCAAGAACAGAGATGAACTTTCACTAGAAAATGGAAAACTACCTCAAAATGTTGCTGCTGAGTCTTCTATATAGTCAAAGGAATGCTCTCATTGTTACACAGCTGCCATGAAGTTACAAGAAAACTTGCTCATAAATGTTTATTGAAACAATACATTGGGAAGTCTATACTTCCCCATTCCTTCATCTATCAAGGTTCTCACTTGGGAAAGACTTCTGTTAACTTATTCCTTTGTGAAAAATATGTGTGGTTATCATCGCTAATGATGACCTCAATTTACCAAGTATTTAAACAATTCTCCCAGTACTCAATCTACAATGCTAATTTAATTGGCCAAGCAAAACTAGTTCACCAATTTTCTAATCAAATTTCAAAGTAACAAAGAAAAAATTTTCCAACGTCTTTTGAAGTCCTTTCAGTGAAAACCATGCTGTGTCTTTCACCAGAATTCATCTACTCATGAACACTGTAAAGGAAATCAACCACATAGTCTGATTTCTGGCTGTCTTAGCTTAAATACTGATGGTCTCAAGCATTAATCATATTCAGGTGTTT